AAAGGGATGAACGTAGTCCACAAGTCTTTGAAGTCAAGTAGGTTGGCGAGGAATGAAGACAGGCAAAGATAGAAATGATGTGGTAGAAGCTGGATGAGGATGCCAACTGCAGGGCGTTCCGGGACGAGTTATATCTGTACGATGCAGTGCGTGACTAACTCCAAGATGGAATTGATTTGTATACTGCGCCAGTGCGTTCTCGGAGCCTACGTTAAACAGTGGGCTCTTGAGTGTTAGGCAGATTCTGAAATTATGCTAGACAGGGCAGCATGAACAGAAAGCTCGAGCCGCCTACGCGGCAGGCGCCTGTTAGCTTCATGGGGCTATGAAAGAGTGGCAGGGGGGCGATGGATGCAGCTCGAGACCGGGGTATGTGCAAGTGAACCAGACAGCCGGGTAGCTAGGCCTTAGCGGGCCGAACACAGGCATCCTTGCGCCGACCGGACTTTGAGGCGCAAGAGGAGAGGGCGGTTGTACCCTTGCTCGATGTGCATCCCCATGAAACTGGCCAGTCTGGCAAAGGATGTCCCGTCTGTATCTGACGTTGATCGTTCATTCATGTGTCACCCCAATGCCGTTACCAAAGTGAGACACCAACACCTCAACTCCATACGCGCTTGTTTGAGTAGCTCTTGGGATAGACAGATAAGATCAACTTGAATTTTAACCGGATTTGCAGTGCTCATCCTTAGCAAAATGTACCTATATGTCCGCGGCTGCAAGCGCCGGCCATCAAGCGACCGATGTGCTCGCTTCGCGCTGCTGCTGGAGCTGCGACACCATCGCAGTAAGTTCTTCAACTTGCGTTGAAAGCTTAAGGACTAGTGCCTTCAATGGAGCATCGGTTTCTGTAGACCCTGCTCGTGCCTGGGGCTTCCTCGCAAATGAGTTTGGTGCTTCCGCCATCAATAGGCGTGGAGAGTTGACCGGCAACCGAAGAGCCTTTTTTGGTGGGGTTGGTGTCTGCGGTCCGCTGAAAGATGTCGCTTTCACATCGAGATTACGGGTATCGGTCAGCTGCTCGTAAGCCCAGATTGCAAATACAAGAGGTAGATGCGTGGCCTTGAGCAAGACGATCCGGACGCTCCTGAGTCGCTCGGAGGGTATGACGAGCCGCAACGGTCGAATGACTAGCGGAATGAGATTCTGGAAGCCGGTCAGCCTTGCAAAGTTGAGCACGGCTGTGGATACCACTGCGTTGTGGGTTCGCAGGGATTCACAGCGGCCTTGAGTCGAGAGAGCCTGAGCGCCAGAACAAGGCTTGTCAGTGACGTGACAACGGCAGAGCATCCGCCGACGATGCTTCCTTCACGAGCCGGCCACGAAGCTTTGACTGGTTGGTTCTGAGCGCGTCTTCCACGATGGCCATAGAGGCTGTGTCGATTGGGCGTTGAACGACCCGGCGCTTAATGCCCGCTTTTAACCTCCCCATAATAATAGCACTGAACAACATACTTACCAGTGGAGGCAGAAAGTATGTCAATCGATTTGAGCTTGATGCTTCGAGCACGTATACGGAATAGCTGCATCGTCAGTGCCTGAAGAAAGTTGCCTTGGATCATGCCGACGTACATGAACAAATATTCATCTCGCGCATGATCGAGAACCTGTCCACCGTCAATATCGATCCTTTGGAAAGTAATATAACCAGAGATGATAAGCTATAGCCGGTTGTTCATGGGGTCAGGGCAGTCAGTGCCTGCGAGAAATCTCCTGTTGCAGTCCCAATGGGGCTGTATCACACCCCCGTAAGACCAACCGGAAAAAGTCAAGTGCTAACCCCAATGCGAATGCACTCTGGGGAGACTGCAATGGAGATGAGGCGGTCCAGTCGGGCGTTAACCGTTGTTTTGCGCTTGGCATGCACAGACATGCATGCGATTTGAGGTTGCAAAGCAGTGAGGACCAATGGAAAAACCCATTACCTTACTCAACGAGTTGCTCAAAAGCGATATGAGGCTTGTAATCAACAAGATGTTTGTCAAAGTGACGAAAACAAGCTAGTGTGTGATCAGCAGACCGCGATGCGATGCATTCCAAATAGTCAGACTCGTACCATCACAGGAGGTCCGAAGAACGGCGAGCTATGCAGGCATTAGCAAGCCATTGGCACTGTTGATCGGAGGAGTGCATACATCTCTTCGGCGACATCTGCAGGCAGCTGTCGTCAGTACTGGTGGACAAGAATCGGTGTATGCCTTCGCTTGGCCGTTGCCTGAGGCTTGACTCACCGAAACCTAGGTAGCTAGAGCTGAGAAGGCATTAGCTGGTATAGCAACAGTGGCGTGATGTTAACCATTACCCGAAGAAGACCTTGATCAGGATCCAACTCTACGTTGCACGAGTCAGCAGTTGGCACGTCGGTGACCCCGATAGACAACTTGCCATCTGCTTCGCATTGAATCTACTATCTCTAGCCAGCAGTACGAAAGTAGTTAGAAACCCTTTATATCGGTGAGCATTGGCTGCAGCTACTAAAGCGTCGGACGCCTTACCCAGGTACAGGATGACTACCAGTGAAAGGAATTTGATGAAATCCTTGGTCATTTCTTTGAGACACGGAATAAGGGTGCCAAAATATCGATTGAGACTCAAGAGAGAGAAGATACGCGGCACGAGGAAGAGAGCCTCTAGTCCGAGTACGTCATAGGCAAGATCGATGGTGGTAGCGTTGGCTGTAGTCAGACCAACAATCCTCATAATGCAGAAGACAAAGCCCACGACGACGATACTGATGTCCCAGGTCCACCTAAAGACGTTAGCCTCCATCAAAATGGCGATGAGAAACGCATGCCTACCAAAAGTCCGAGGCATAGAACGAGCTTTGCCCTGCGTCTAACCAATCCGAAAATTCATCGTACGCGAAGCTGGCAATCCACACGTAGAGCAGTATCTCGGGAATGGTTACTCGGGCGTTGTTTCGCTGCACTAGAACTGCGTAGTACAGCCCTAAGAATGCCGCAAAAAAGAGTGTCTCGAAAATCTTCAAGTACAACGGAACGCGTAGCCTGGAGAAGGGATCGGCCTGCTTTCGGTTGTACTTTTTGGGCTTCTTCTCTGAGTGTAGACTGAGGGTCTCCCAGAATACGATGTCGCCTTTCCACAAGCCATTTATGATTTTCTGGACTGGTCTCTGGGACAGGAACTTCTTCGCACCAGATACAGTCGCAAGCTCCAATGCACTGAGATTCTCGCATTGTGACATCAGCGATCCGAAGCGAGATCTGGGAGAGTCGCCGTGGCCGAAGTAATCGGTGTTGGATACGGGAAGCAAAGGCGACCGCTCGTCGGCATGTGTGGTGTCGCGTTCGTTCTCGCCCGAGTGGTAGCCGTTCGGTGGGTTGGAGGTGGTCGGCGTCGTTGCCGGCGGGAGTTCTACTAGCAGAGATTCGATGATGTCGGCTTCTTTCAGGTTCGTCAAGAATTGCCAGGCTACGAATTCGCATGCGTAGCCTCGCGCTTCGTTCACGCCAGGCTCGTCGCTGGTTTCCTCCAAGGCAGAGAAATGTCCCTTCAGGGCCCTTCAATATGGTCAGCGCTCTCCACTCCGGCATGCAACCATCTGGTATTGATAAAAGCGACCTGGGTTGCCTCGACGTACAGTAGAGCGGATACGAGGGCAGGGTGGTCGACTTGGGTAGACAGGTATGCGATGAGAGGCTGGACTGCCCGGCCCTCCTGCGATCGACGCAAATCTTCGAAGGTATGTGGCAGCTTGATCTTATGCTCAAAGAACCTACTCTCGGGTTAGGCTACTGGACAATTGCGCATTCACATGCATCGACTGACTGGCACAGTTTGTCTACCAGATCTCCGAAGCACTCGTCGCCGGCTATCTCTGGCACGCCCGTTTCGTCTGCAGGCCATCTCGGTGTGGACGGTATCGACATGGTGGGTTCTTATGATAGCTTGCGATTGCCCTCTGCCACTTCCTCCTGTCTTCGCAACATTGAAAGATTCGCGACGCGTTAGGCGCATGGACCTCGGGACCCGCGTCGTCATGGCTCTCTTGGCAGCCACCATCTGTCTCCGCGACTGCAACCTTAGACTTCGCTGCAGCATACAGCATGCTCTGAAGCTTTTGTGTGCACGACATGCGACTTTGATCACATATCCCTTCGCTCGCACTAACCCACGTGTGAACCGCCGTCTCAAGCAACATGGCGCACGATGCTAATTTCGTCGGCAATCGTCTACGGCTGAGCGCCTTTCTTTCATGTGTGGGAGGGATACCAGACCGTCCGTCACGTTTCAAACCGCCTATCCAAAATCTGGACGTGGTAAACTCCGCTGCCCCGTTCTCCGGATTACATCGCGACGTGTCAGTCAAGGAACCGGCCAGGGAGCCAGCAATCTTGCCCTCAAAATTATCTGCCGAGGCAGAATTCATCGGAACCAACTTGTGTGAGGAAGCTGCAGCTACCGACAGGCCGCTGGATACCAACATCGAAGAAGATAGATCTGCCTTGGATGATCTCACGAAGGCGCCATCTGTATACGACATCCCAAGTTCATCACCACCAGACCTCTGTCTAGCCTCTGTTAGCGGCGGCAAACAAGGACTTCGCAACGGGCTTTCGAGCACTCGGAAACGGCGTTTGCCAGTACATGAGCTCGCTTTGCTGCGGACTACTACACTGGATGGACTACCCCTACCGGGTGTAAGGAGCTTCCACGGGTTTCGTCGTAGGTAGCTTGCGGCCAGCTAACGCTGTTGACTTTAGGATGTTACTCTCAATGTTGCTGCTCCCATTGCGGTCGTGGACCCTATCGAAGATAGCCAAATACGTCTTACAAATACGTTGCACATCTCCGTATGTCAACGATAGTCAACGCTGACACTGCTGACCTTCACGCAGACTTCAGGCGGCGTCATCATCACGAAGAGTAGGCTGATACCGAAGACAACACAACCGCCAGACTCTGTCGGCCTTCCCAAGACCGAACCAATGGGAATGCGCACAGAGCCCCTGGAGAGACCCACACAACTTTCTACTAAGATGCAGCGATATTGTCCAAACCTTCGAGATGCTTTTGACGGGTTTGTTGGTTCCGAACTAAAGCTCGTTCCCAAGAGAATTGTCAACCGCCAAAGGATCGCCAATCCGACCAAGAGACAGAAGCCTGGTATCAAGCGCGAACTAGTTCTACGAGCTGGGTCACCACCTTTATCGGCGGGTTGGGCTACGATTACCGCAAATGCTTTAGTTGTCGGCAAAACACCTATGATCGTTGGTGCGAACACTTCGTCAAGACTTGAAAACGCCCAAACTCACGTAGGACTCGGACAACTGACATTGACGAGATGCCAGAATGTTCTACAGGCTGGCACAGATGATGGACATGCCCCTGAACTGGGCGATGAGACACTATACGAGGAAGCTCACGAAGAAGATCGTGACAACGATGTTACTGCTGAGACTGGTCACTACCAGCTCAACCGAGTACCCACATCTTGAGACAAGATTAGCCGATTTTGATGTACAACACACCTGGACGGTCAAAGCGAGACGGAGAGTAATGGCGATACTGCCAGCCCTTATTGACGACGTCGACGGTTCATGTTACGCAGATTAAGACGGCGGGGGACCCTGGAGATCAGCAATGGGGTTGGAGAGTACAGGGTGATATGTACTGGGACAGCGAGCACCTCCTGGGTATTCTGTAGACTCAGCTCTTGCATGCCTGACAGCTTCCGATGACAGACGTCAGGCCTCCAAAGCTGCGAAGACTTCAAAGTGCGAGCCGGGAACGTTGTGGAATAGACCACCAGAGGCAGTGTCAGCTATAGCATACAGTCCGGGCATTCGTGGGGCTTCTTGAAACGCCTCGGTTCCTAAGTAGTAGCAATGTTCATGAATGCGGACCATGGTGCACGGCATACGTTCGCAGTCTCAATGAATACCTGAGCAAGAGATGGACGGGATGAATGAAATGCGTTTTAAGTCGCAAGCCGTTGGGTACGTCGCAACATTGGCCTGATCGGGCTGTTTCGCAGCTGAGGTGTGACGTCGTTTTATTCGAGCATGTAAGCCAGCTACCGACGTCTGTGTGAGATCGATGACTTTGGCACTGCAGATTGGGTTCATCGAACATTGACATTCGATGTACAGGGCTCCCGTGGTCAGAACGTGGTATTAGTTCCTGACGTTGTTCTAGCGGCAGTCCCGAAATAGCGATCGGTGTCTCGGTTTCGCGATTCAGACACTAACATCAAACACCACACTACTGTTTGGACGCATGGACAAAACATAGCACAAGTGTTCTGCAGGCGTGTTGACACAAGTGGAGTGATGATTGGAATGGTGCGGCGCAACATATATGGTGGGCTTGCGCCTCGCTGCGCGAAGCTCCCCGTATCGCTTCGACGTCCTGGTACTCCGACTATTGACTAGTCTCGACTCTCATCACCACGCATCGCCTATCGCCGGCGCAAATCAGGTCTGAAAAGTCGAATAAGCGCAACTAGCGATACCATGGCATCACAAGGCGGCATACCACCTTCTGTGGTAAGTATACCCACCCACAGGCTTATCTGATGGGTCTGGAACTTGGAGAGAGACAAAGTCGCTGACGTTGAAAAGGCATCACAAGCGCCACCATATGCTCCTATGGCATGGCCTCTGGGTGGTCCTCCAGTGAAACGCATCGACATTCCTGCCCAAACTGTCTTTATGTTCTTCTTCATGGTCGGAGCAGCGGTACACATGAAGATATTCCAAAAGAACAGAGCACGAGGTCACAAGTTCTTACCAAACCTCTTCATCTTCCGTATGTATAGCCACATTCTGGCTGACATGGATGCTAACTATTCGGAAGTCTTCTGCATGGAACGCATATTGACATCAATCTTGCGACTCGCATCGGCCTCTAATCCAACCAACATTCCACTTGCGATTGCTGCACAGATCTTCATCGCAGCAGGTGTTCTTATACTATTCGTCATCAATCTCGTTTTCGCGATGCGCCTAGTAAGGTCGACACATCCGTCGGTGGGTTGGCATCCTGCGTTTGGCATCGCGTTCAAAGCTCTTTACGCGTTGATCGGCCTGACACTTATCGCTGTCATTACAGCTACAGTTCAGAGCTTTTACAGTCTCAGCGCAGGAACTCGAGCGACGGACCGCGGCTTCCAGCAGTACGGCGCAACCTTCCTGGCTATCGTCGCTACACTACCTTTGCCGATGACGATGCTCACGCTTCTCATTCCCTATTCGCCGCTCGATCATTTCGGTATGGGCCGTCTTCGTACAAAAGTCATAGTCCTGATGATTGGCACCACACTCCTCTCTATTGGCGCATGGTATCGCTGTGGTGTTGCCTTCCAGACACCAGTCCCGAGATCACAACCTCTACCAGGCTATCTCGGCAAGGCACCATTCTACATTTTCAACTTCCTCGTGGAGATCCAGACGGTACTCATGTACGCCATACTTCGCGTAGACCTCCGCTGGCACATCCCCAATGGCGCAAAGGGGCCTGGTAGCTACGCTAGATCACGAATGGGCGACGTGGAAATGCAAGACTCGCGACCTACTTCCTCGGATAGCGTACAAGATGACAACAAGTCGACCAGATCTTTCAGTGAAGACGAAGAAAAAGAGCTAGAGAACGAGAAGGTCGAGGAGCTCCCTGCCCCCAGGATTATAGAGATAGATCTCGGAAACTCTTCGCGCAGCTCCCTGGCGCCGCCAGACATGGACCTGAACAGGAACTCGGCCCGCAGCTCTCTGGCAGTACCAAAGACGGCAGATAGATCAGCGCGCAGTTCCATCATCTCCCAGCGCCTATCCTCGTTCATCAGCAAGTCCACCAGCACACTAGCTACCTTTGCGACCGCGGAGCAAAAGCAACGATGGCGGGAGAGTGAGGAAGCGAGAATCGTCCGAAGACTTGGAGGGCCGTGGCAGCAACTCCCTAGCCCGGTTGAATCGACCTTCAGCATGAGCAAGAGCCCTACGAGGAGCGTCTTCAGCCGTACGACAGGAGGGGATGGACCGGAGGCGCCTGAACCAGCATACCACCAACGAAGCGATAGTGGCGCGCCTAGTATACCTGATGTTGTTGGAGAGGGCGGTTGGACACCAAGAATTGATTGGGAGTTCCGCAGCCCAAGACGCTTCCTCAGTTTGAAGAAGAGGAGTATGATAGGCTTGCAGCTTCCGAAGTGAACGGGCGGACTTGGAGCGGATTGATGCGATGTTTTTACAGCGAAGGCGTTTGTGGGGATGGGGAAGGTACTAATACACTGCTGGGCGGCAAAAGCTTTTTCTGGTGTTCATCATACCCATCTGCTTTTTGCGCATGTATTGGAAGTTTATACAAGCTTTATGGCCTTTTACTTTTTTCATGTGGCATGTACAATAGCAGTCATTGCATTCTTTTTATCGATACATGAACACTTCCCGTGCGCCACATTATTCGTATTACATTCAAATGCATTCTACCCACAGACTCATCGCTGTACATCGTCGCTTCATCGTTACATCAACAGCAACATCTCACGCGGTAGACCCTGACCCAGACTCACGAATAAATTTAGTGTGACGGCTCCCCTCCCAGCAACCCGGTCCCTGTACCTGAATCCCCAATCCAAAACAAATCAATAGTGCGAAACGAACATGAAGTTGCCTCAGGGAACGTTGGGTCTGCTGTCACCCGTTTCGAGGCGTGAACTAGGGGCGGCGCTAGTGTATTAGCCCGTGTATGTGGATCGTTTTATGGGTTGTTGAATGTCGTTTGCATCGTTGTGTGTTTTGTCTGGGGGTCTGGAGGCCTAAGGACGCAAGAGCTTGAAGGGTTCTTCGGGATGTTGGTGCATCGCGCAGTGGCGGTTGGCAGGGACAGTGAGAAAAGTGTCATAAGATTGCAGGTATGCATCCAGTCGTCATTACTTGAACGCCCTGTGCCTTCGCTCGCCCTCCGCCCATCGCAATTCAACCTGGAAACCTACATAGGAATCCGTCTCATCTCATCCAAACTCCAATACTTCCTCATATTCTCGGCTTCCAACTGCTTGACCTCATCATCCAGATGCTGCCATAAAACTTCGCCAAAAGAATCGAATATCTCCTTCAACTCGCCCAAACGCAACTCTCGCTCCCCACCCTCGCACTCTTCAAGGTACTTTTCTAGCTTATCAAGACCCTTGTGGATCTGCTTGTGCTGGGTGAGAAGGTCGAGTTCCTTCTTGAAGGCGGGCATCTTCTTGGCCAAGACGGGGAAGATGTGCTGCTCTTCTATTGTGTGGTGCACTGTGAGATGATCTATATGGGAATGGTTAGATGATGATACTTTTTTGGCTGAGTTGTGGGTGAAACTAACGGCAAAATTGCTGGCCCATGCTGATAAATTGGCGGATGGACATGTTCTTGGGTCTCTTTTGTGCCTCACATGCCCCGTAGAGAACTTTCCAGGTCGCTCTGAAGTTATCGTGGAAATAGTTCATGTGCTCCGCCATTCTGTTATACTGGCGAAACTCGGATGCGGAGAGTTTAGGTAGAGGCTTTTCCTCATTGGCCGCAGGGGTGGAGTTTGGGTCATTGACTACAGGAGGGGCTGGTGCAGTAGGACCGTCATCTCCTGAGATGGTTGCCATGTTTGCGGGGCGTTCAGATTGTTGCAGTCTGGGGCTGACCGTGGAATACTGCCTTCCAAACGATGTCAGAGCAAGTCGAGGTGGGGCTCTGAGGATGGATGCGATAGATTGAACACGCTTCATACGCTGGAGAGAAAAACAACAATGTCACTCGAAGACGATGTAAAGATATAGTTTGGGGTATCTATGTTTTGCGTGGCACAGCCTTGCATGCTTGGGAGGTGATTACCCATCTAGCCACTGGCGGCTTGTGAAATTTGCATTAGCAAGCGGCCGGCAGTTGCACTTCCCGATCCCGGTAAGACGCGTTGATAACGCGCCGGATCACGTGACTTCGCTATCACCAACGCGACCATGCTTATTTCTTTCTCGTTTTGGCAAACTTCTCGTGCCACTTGCGCGCTGACGGCTTCATGGCTGCCACTGAGCTGTCTCCACCTGCAGTTGTAGCAGCCTTGCTTTTCGCCCTTATCGTTGTATCGGATGGGAAGTCGTAGATGCCTTCGATGGCACCGAGCTGCGCGTCTTTGCGCCATACTTCGGGCAGGCGGTCCTCCCACGTGTCGGTGAAGTCGGCGATGAGGAAGTCTGCGCCGCGTTTGGCTTCCAGCAGTGTCCTGCCAGTAAATGCGACAGTCTTTTCCCGATCCAGACACGACCATGGTCCGTTCCTGTCGTTGTCTGCTGTGGATAGGTATGCCAGTATGGCCTCTACAAGGCCTGGCGGATGCCCTTCTTCAGCTGCGGCTTTAGTGATGTCGTTGGTCAAGAACTGCGCTTGTAGTTTGATGCCCTCGGCCAGTGCAGCGGCGTTGATGGACCTCCATACTTGTGAGAGGGCGTTCGGCGAAGGCTGGTATG